ACGTCGTAATAAGTGAAAACAGTTAAACAATAGCTAGACTTAAAGCATGCAAGTATGGACTTCACTAAAAATATGGGAGAATTTTCCAAATTTATTGAACAATAATAGGAATAACAACCTAATCACAAAGCTAAATTGCTTATAATACCACATCAAACCCTTTTTTATTTTTTATTTTTTATTTTATACAAACGATATTTTATTTTAGTCTAAAAGCAAAAAAACAAAACAAAAAGCCGGCATTTTGAAAACGTTGAAAAGTGCAAGGCGGACGGTAGGTAGGCAAAGAGAGCCAAAAAAAGAAGGTTTTCTCTCCGTTTCTCCATAACCAAGGCCCTACATTCGACAGCTTGGACCAAAGCTTTTCCCAAGTCAGCTCGTACGGCATCCCTCCCTTCCCCGTTGCTTTGTATTTTCTCTTAATTTATTTACTCTCTCTCTCTCTCTCTTTGCGTCTCTCTGCAACTCTTCCAAACACTTGCATTGATTGAAACGAAGCTCTCTGCGTCTCGAAATCTCCGTTTCATGGGCACTCTCTCGCATGCTGCGATCGCCCCCAGACTCGCCGCCCTCCACCACCACCGCGCTTCCCATGGACTTTCGCATCCGAGTTCGCCGTCTCTGAGGCTGCCTACTTCCAATGGAGTTGCCAAGAAGAGCCGCGTCGTCTTCGTTCAGAGCAAGAGCCACAACCAGCACATCGATTTCAGCGATCCTGACTGGAAATCCAAGTTCCAGAGGGATTTCGAGAGGCGCTTCAACATCCCTCACATCACTGACGTCTTCCCCGACGCTGTTCCCATTCCTTCCACCTTCTGCCTCAGGATGAGGTCACTTCACTCTCTCACTCAGTTGCTTTCTTTCTTCTTTAGTTTTGAATTTTTAGTTCTGAGTGCCTGAAATTGCTTGAATTTATGTTGCAGGACTCCGGTGATAGAAGACTTTGCAGGGGGCTACCCATCGGATGAAGAGTGGCATGGTTACATAAACAACAACGACCGCGTACTTCTCAAGGTATGTATAAGTATTACTCTACTATTATTCTTGAATGAATCTCTGTTTCTACAAAATTTCGTAATCTGAACTTGTTGAACCACTATTTAGTGTACCAGTCTTTGTGATAGTCTGTTTGAGTCAATGATTGATTGATGGGTTTACTAGTCTTGAGAAATGATGCGAAACTTATTTTTTTGGGCCTTCGTTTCATTATGAGAGTACCCTTTTTTATTTTTGTTACTTACGTTGAACCCAATTGAATTGTAATAATATGATGGTTTTTTTTGTTCTTTTCTGTTATGTGGTTCCCATGTGAGCAATACTAAAGACTGTTGCTTTGTTGTTTTTTGTTCAATATTTTCAGACTATATACTATTCGTCACCTACATCTGCTGGTGCTGAATGCATTGATCCTAACTGTACGTGGGTGGAGCAATGGTAATTATTTCTCTCTACTCTCTTATAGTTGCTTGTGGATTTCCTACGTGAGCTATTCAGTGGCAATAAGTTGATGGTTTCCAGTAAGGTTATGTTTTAGTTCCTTGGAGGTTTGCCAATCAGACATAGAAACAGATCTGTTTCTGTGAGTACTAGTGGGTGGTTTGGGGACTGCGTGTGGGTTCTCTGCAAGGCCATTTTGACAGGGATTGGTGGTCCTTCTACAGGGTGAAATGTCAAGGGCATGCTTGATGTGGGTTAAATATTTTTTCTTCTCAAACTTTGTTTTGTTTTTGTTTCTGTTGTGGGCGGCAGGGGGTTGAGAGGTAATGGAGATATTTACTAGGATCAAGCTGTCAGTAGAGAGTGATGCTGGAGGGTTGAGAGATAATGGATATATTTACTAGGATCGAGCTGTCAGTAGAGAGAGATTGTGGAAGACTTGTAGAGTGGAGTGGGACTGTGGGAGTGAGAGAGAAGATGATGACTACCAATTAAAATGAATCGTTTGAACTTCAAAGTTTAGACACATGAACTACTTCAAGGAGTGATCCATTGGAATGGCTGTTATCTTGCTCATGTTGCCATGTGTCTTTAGAGGATTTTGAAGCAATTGATGTTATTTTCTTCAATAACGCCTCAATCGACGAGTTAACTGAATGTAGTACTCTTCTTTTTCTACTTTCTTTTAGTGTTCATTAGCTGATAGTCATATCAATTTGCTATATATAATATTCAGCAGGGAGCACACATGTTTCTATGCTTTTCAAAATTTTCTACATTTGGGCTATGATAGGTCTTGAAAGAATTGCAAATTGAATGTAATCATATCATATTAACTCCTTAGGGATCTCTTCTTACGACATGTTGTATTAACTCCTTATGCAATACTGGCTTTTCATTTGGATGACTGATTTCTGATGAATATGGTATTGAAAATTTCCAGGGTTCATCGTGCTGGGCCTCGAGAAAAAATATATTTTAAACCGGAAGAAGTGAAAGCAGCAATTGTAACATGCGGAGGGCTATGCCCTGGTCTTAATGACGTCATCAGACAGGTCAGTTTCATCAAACAGTAATTGTACATGTATTTTTCTTGTGGTTTTTATCAGAACTGGCCCTGAAGTACTATTTGATGAAATTGGTATATTTAATAATTCATATGATGTATTATAAATTGTAGTTCTTAAATTGCTGATAAAACATGTTTTCCGTTCCCACATTGAAATCAAACACGTGATATGGATGGCCCTGAAGTACTCCTTAACCAAACACATGATCGGAGCTTAGAATCTTTCCTAATTGTTTTCCTTATAAGCTCCTTAAGTATTCATACTTAAGACGTATTGTATTTAACATACTTGAATCATATATGTTCTACAGATTGTCATTACACTTGAAATATATGGGGTAAAAAAGATTGTGGGGATTCCTTATGGTTACCGCGGATTTTCTGACAAAGAATTAGCTGAAATGCCAGTAAGTTGTTTTTTTCCTTGCAAGTAGACGTCTAGTATGAACCATTCAATCAACATATTTTCTTGCAGCCTTGCTATGCTTCTACGATAAATATATGTTTCCTCGTTTACAACAAGAATACATTTATGTTGTAGACTAATGTGTTGAAACCGGATTTGATTATTAGCTATCAAGGAAAGTGGTTCAAAATGTTCATCTTTCTGGAGGAAGCTTGTTAGGAGTTTCACGTGGAGGTCCCAGTGTTAGTGAAATGGTGGACAGGTTGGAGGTGATTATCTGAAAAGCTTCTTTTGAGAAAATTGGTAATAGTGGTCCATCATGATTCCTAGAAGATTTTATGACATATGTATTTGCTTGTTGGTATCAGGAAAGAGGAATCAATATGCTTTTTGTTTTGGGTGGAAATGGCACACATGCTGGAGCTGACGCTATACACACTGAGGTTGGTAAGCTTGAGGATCTGTACTGACCTGGTGCACCATGTCATATGTGGGATCTGGTATTTATTAATTTAAAAATAATAATTTTCTAACATTGCGCTCATAGGACCTGCATAAGATATTAGTTTGGGATAGTCTGTCTGATAATTTACTTTGTTATTAAAACGTCTTAGCCAATGCTGGTAGAGGTTGGGAAAGATGTACTGGAATATTAACATAAATTCTGTGGAGGGATTTTATTGGGTCCCAACTTGTGACAATCTTATAGTCTTTGTAAGTTTGAATGCTTGGTTCTTTCGTTTGCCTTAATCTTCTTAAGTTCTAATTTATTTGTTGTGTTTTCCTATTTTTCTTATAGTGCCGTAAAAGACGGTTAAGAGTGGCTGTAGTTGGTGTGCCAAAAACCATAGACAACGATATTTTGCTAATGGACAAAACTTTTGGTTTTGATACGGCTGTTGAAGAAGCACAACGGGCAATAAGTTCAGCATATATTGAGGTAGAAATGAGTTATGATACTTGTTGTTTCGTATGTTACTTATTCAATATCATTTTTACTGCTCATGCATGGATTTATGTTCATGTAAGGCTTCTGCTCAATTTTTTCCTGGCAGTGATGTCTACATGATAAGCTGATCTTTCTTCTGAATCTTGTAATAGGCACATAGTGCTTACCATGGTGTTGGCATTGTGAAACTGATGGGTCGTAGCAGTGGATTCATAGCAATGCACGCATCCCTGTCTAGTGGACAAATTGACATATGTTTGATACCTGAGGTACTTAGACTGCACTGATGCTATTGATATATGCTATTTACATATTTTTCCAAACACTGATGCTAGTCATATATTTGCATCCAAGGTACCTTTTCAAATGCACGGTCCTCATGGTATTTTGCACCATCTGAAATACCTAATTCAAACAAAGGGATCAGCTGTGGTCTGTGTAGCAGAGGGAGCAGGGCAGGTGAGTCACAGTCATAACTTCAAGTCTTGTTTTGGCTTGTAGGTGAATGTATATTTAACTCATAAGGATAATGATAATTTCTTCCCTTTGGATTCCATGTGTAAATCATGCAAACTAATTTTTCTATTATTTTTATGGTTGATGCTTTTCTTATCTACCAAGTGAAATTGCTGAGTGCTGTAGGCTTATTTTTATGCAGAATTTACTACAGAAAACCAATGCTACTGATGCATCTGGAAATGTTGTATTTGGGGATATTGGCGTACATATTCAGCAAGAGGTTGGTGATTGTGTTTTAAGGCTATGATGATTTCCATTGCATATGAGAACTTCCAACTCAATTTTAGACTTGTACCATGCTGTCAGGCTTTTTCTTTTTCTCAGTAAGTGCTTCACAGATTTATCGTGTGTGCAATGATTGAGTTAAGGTTTATGCATTAAATAATTGAGAAGATTCCATCATCATTTGACGAGACAATAGTCAATGTGCCGTTTTGCAGGAAATTTGGATAGGGTTATACTATTTAGACTTAACTTTGCTTAAGACTCTCATCAAACAATGACGAAACTCTGCTTGTTGACTCGCCTTAATATTACCAACCATGTTCCACCACTATATTAGACAGGGTGCACAAATTCTCTTTCCTATTTTGTGTACTCCATCTTTCCCTATGTCTGGGAAAGGGAGCCGTATGTTCGATTCAAGTCTCATACCGTAGTCCTGTATCACTAGGGTTCTTTCAGCCATGTTGACAGCCCTGCCCATGTTCAATGGGGTTGAAGATGCAAATTGCTCTTTTGGATTTATTTGAACAATCCTTCAAGCCGTGCATATATTTGTTGGAGTTGACATGTTTTGGGCTTGACAATAAACATAGGCAGTGGTGAGGTGCGAACTACATTCAGATACTGTTAACAAAGTTCTGCAATAGAGATGCATGATGTTAATATGGAAGCTCATGAGGTTTATCAGTTTATATGCTTAAATCTCTTACTCTCGCGAGTCTGAACATGCTTGGTCACCAACACACAACATGTTTATCTTACTCATGGTGGTGATCTTGAGTCACATTAGGACTTTTAATATGCTTGTGTACCAGCCAATAAACTCTTGTCTTCTTGAGTCTTGATCCTACTTTTGTTAGTCATAAAAATTAACAGATTTTGTTTCTCTTCATATGAATTATCTGACATTCTGATAATTCAATTCCTCTGATTTAATTGTTCGGTTCATTATTTGGTTGAAACATTTGTGGTGTCTATAACCATCTACAATCATCTGCCAGACAAAAAAATATTTTAAAGAAGCCGGTGTTCCTGTTGATGTGAAGTATATAGACCCCACATACATGATCCGTGCATGTCGTGCAAATGCATCGGATGGAATTCTTTGTGCTGTGCTAGGACAAAATGCTGTGAGTCTCTCTCTTTCTCTCCAACACCCACACTTACACACACACACACACAAACAAATAAGTACAAGACCTTATTTTTTTGGTGTCTCCTCTGAACTACATTCAATACGCATGCATGGCTACAACAGGTTCATGGTGCATTCGCTGGGTATAGTGGAATCACAGTCGGCACATGCAACACTCATTATGTATACCTTCCAATTCCTGAGGTCATTTCTCATCCCAGGCTGATAGATCCTAACAGCCGAATGTGGCATCGTTGCTTGACTTCCACAGGCCAGCCAGACTTTGTCTAATTATGTAGGCCTTATTAGCTTCAGTTTTGAGAAGTATAAGTTTCGAAGAGTAAGTTACAGGCAAAAATAATAATAACCAGCGTTAGAAGGAATCTGGTTTGCTCAGGCATGCTGCAGAAGAATAATACAAAAGGATGAAGACATCCCTCCACTAAATTTGTTTAGTGTATAGCATAACTGCTTCAGATCCTCTTAATTATTTTGAAAGTTAAATTAGGCCAAGCAATTGGTGCTTTGGTTTATAATATTTCTGTACATCATTTGTTGTATCCTAGAAATCTGAATGTGGTTACTGATAAGATGAACCAGAGCAACCACACTGGGTTCATATATATAATCTAGTTTCAAAACTTGGGATGCCTATATTGACAAGTCTTCAAGTAGAGTTTTAGTAGCTACCTTCCCTAATCTTGTCTATTTCTAATAGTTTTGTGCTCATTCAACATCATGTTACATCTCTCTTCTTCGTTCACAGTACTAAGACTGGTGTTGATGGGATTTGCAAACAAAGATTCATTGAATATTATAAGTTAATTCTATGCTTCTGCTCTGGTCAAAAGAAAAATGTGCCTCAGCTGCTTTAGAAATGTGCAATTCAAACATTAGCTTATAACTTGGTCCTAGCTGGCTGATGATACCAAATCAATGTGAAATGACTTGTTTCAATCTGAGGATGAGAAGATCCCCTTCCTGTCTCTGCCTTTGCATAAAAGTTTTGCTAAAATGAGGCATAAACAGAGTTTGAACAGTTGATTTTGCAGAAAAAGAAATAATTGTAGATTAAAAAACAGGCATAAAAATTTGATATGACATTCATGGTGCAAAGTGTAAGTTGTCTATTTGTAAATTATTCAAATTTATGAAACACTGCCAACAAGGTCTAGCATAGTGGAAAAAGATCGAAACTTCATGACACCTTGATAATGCGTGTGTGAGAGAAATTCTCATCCCCTTGTAGTTTAGACTATTACTTGTATTCCAAAAAAATTATGAAAAACTATTTGTGCAAGAATCACATCCCCAAACAAAATGCACCTTTCAGCAGAAAACAGAAAACAAACAAAGGCACAATGGAAAATGAGAAACCTTTCTCTCTCTTGTACAGTTGTATTACATCTTCTAAGCCCTCATGGGTGAAACTGTAACTTCAAGTAAGGAGGTTACTTTTACTTTGACATTAATAAATATTATTACCGTCCAGAGAAGGTATGGACAAGTAAAAAGGGCTGTGATTCTTCTGAGCCTCTGACCAAACCTCACCTCCTCCCACTTACAGTTTCCTTCACGCACTCTCACAAAAGTGTTAGCTCTCGGTTTTGCTCCCTCTGCTTCCCCTACCCTGCTACATTAATTAAATTATATATATTCTTTCTTGGTATCGGTAACACCAATTTCTCGTCCAGTCAACTTTCATTTTCTCGGTCAAACGAAACTCAATTTCCCATTGCCAAACTTCTACAACTCCAAAGCATGTTCAATGGTATGGCCAACTGTCAGTGCCAGGCTTGCTAGAATTGCCTCTTCTTCAATAATACTCTGTGCGTCATTTCTATGCCCATGTTTTCGGTGTTGTTTCTGATTATTGTGCTTGTGGAAAAAACGACTTTAGCCCAACGTTAGAGTATTCAAGGTTTACATAATTACATTAGAAAGAGTTAAAATAGAAGTATGAACCGATGTAGGGTTTTAATATAAGTGCAATGTCAACACAGAAAAACATACATAGATCGAATATGAATTTGTATCACTCTTGGAAAAGAAGTCGATTGAAAAACAAAATATTAACATGCCCCGCAAATACGCAACATAGCAACTGAATTTGTTCATTACTATACGAGCGTAATTGGAGAATGAGAAATTTGAATACAAGTCCCCTCTCACCAATGTTAAATTATGATATATTTGGTATTTGAGTGAACCATCCAAAATAAAGAGAAGATTACAGCATTCGAGATTGTCGCATAGATGACACAAGAGAAGATATACAAAATGAGATGTGCAATGATATATGAGAGAGGGAATGGAGCACTTGAATTTCTGTGTTATCAGTCAACAAGGTCCCCTGCAGAGCTGAACCTCTACCAACCTGAACCCAGTTTTACAGTCACTGACCTCTGGCCCCGCAACCACACATGCACACATCAGACACTTGAGAGAGAGAGAGAGAGAGAGAGAGAGAGAGAGAATTGTAAGTAAAGTATGGTCTTCAAACTGACGTGGCCAAATAATTTGACAAATGGGATGGGACTGGGATTTGTTTAATAATAATTTCAAGAAATGTGGGTTTGTTGCTACTTCTTCTGCTGCTGCTGGTTCGTCTCATATGCCATGCATATGTGATATTGGGATCCTTGATATCTTGATGTATAGCACACTGTCGCTCTGTCATTACAAATGCTTTCATTTTAATATACTTTTTTTTGTTGTTCTTTTTGGTAAATAACTTTATAACAACACTATTTGACCATGCTTAGCTGTTGCTATTGCTAATTAAACCAGTCAATGTAACTCATTATAATTTATAATCCTTCTTCTTTGTTTATATAAGTGAGTGCCTGGTTGTAAGATGCTTTCATGCTTTGGAAAAAAAAAACTATCAAACAAAATTGTATGTAATTAAACTTATTACGTTTGTTTTACTTAGATAGTTAGATGGGTTTGCTAACCTCATGATAAAAATTGTAAATGGTTGGATCAATCACCTTCTAACACACCTACCATCTTCAAATCATCTGCAAAACTAATTAATTAGAGAATGAGTTTGTTTATGATGTAATCACCTGAATTTGTCAGGTAAGAAACCTTACTTTTTGTTCTTTAATGAGTCTAGCCACAACTATTTAGATATCGAACTCATCACAAATGTATATCGTCTTTGTTATCCACATTGGTCAACACTATTCTAAGTTCTAACCAAGTGGAGACAAATACACTAGACTAAAGGTTAGTCGGTGTTTGTTGCATATACTTAACTGAACCTTCAAAGTTTAATTTAAAATAATCGAACAAGGGAGGTTTCCATGTAATCAAATTTTCCTTACTTCTACCCTTTTTTAACTCTTAGCTTAACACTATTATTCGCATTTCAAAAATCAATTAAAATAACCTTTATTTAAGAAACTAAATTATTAGTAAAATGTTGAGAATTATCAAAAATTAATATAGCATCCCGTATTTTCCACACAAAAAAAGTGAAAAAGATTTCCAAATCTAAAGAAGACCCATTAGTGATAATCCAATGGATAATATCAGTATTTAAGTTGGGATGAAATTTAATAAAATTTCGTAAATGATTCCAAAGATTCAACACACAAGGACAATCTCAAAATAGATAAGACACGAATTTCGATTATGTATCACAAAGAACACACGAAGAGGGAATCAAAGAAAAATGACATAACATTCCCCTAGTATTAAGTCCATGTTGTGACAATAGCGAAGTAAAGATTTTATTTTGTTACCCAAAAAAAAAAAGAAGTTAAGATTTTATTTTTATGCGGTAATTTTAATTTCCAAATTCTAATTTTATCCAAATTAGTTTGAACAAAATGTTGTTGTGTTTGAGTAGATGTTTTAACTGGAAAAAAAAAATTACCATTTGGGCAAAGGCCACATATAAGAATCCTTGATATGGATCCTAATTCTCCGCATTTAGCATCAATGCATTTAAAAGACCTTAATCGTTAAATTAATCTAATGAATTTTGATTTGTCCACATCAGAATAATTGTATTAGACTAAAACTCACCCTATCCTTGCGAATGGCTTGTTGTAGCTTAAGTGGTTAAAGAGCAATTATCTCTACACTCGATGTCCTAAATTCGATTCCTCCTACGCCAATATTGTTTGTATAAAAAATATAAAAATATATATAAAAAAACTCACCCAATCCTTTTAGTCTGACACCAAGGTGGAAATTGTGAGTTTCATTCTAATACAACTGTTTGTACCATATCTGACCCTCCACTCGTACAACGACACGTGGATCTCATAAACTCACCCAAGCACCCAAGGACTCGAACAATCAGCATCGTCTACCGATGACATTGTCTCAGAGCTGCAACAACCGATACAGGCCCAGCTCGTCTACAATCGGCACTAGGCCTCATCATTTGGCCCGCGGGCTCATGGGCTTACGGGGGCCCGCCCGGCCCATTGAAAAAAAGCCCGGCCCGGCCCGTTATGGGCTTTGAGAGGGCCCGGCCCGCTTGGGCTTGGGCCGGGCTTGGGCTTAGGTGTTTGAAGCCCGGCCCGGCCCATAAGCCCGGCCTGATTAAGCCCATGAAAGCCCGGCCCGGCCCGCCCACAAAAGCCCGGCCCGTTAGGCCCGCATACATATATAATTATGTATAAATAAGGGTTTAGAATTAGGATTACATCACTTGAATGACAAATCTCCCTCTTTAATTTTTTTTTGTGTGTTACTTGTTATAAAAATTGTGTTTGTTTCCATTGAATTCTACTCATTCCTAGTTTATAATTGGATGATTAGCACATTAATTTGTGTCATTTATTAATACAACAATTATATATATATATATATATATATATATAAATAAGACAAACAACATATCATATCACCAAACATAATCATACCACCAAATATAATCATATTTTTCTTTAACACATCACCAAATGATGAGCACAAAATTAATACAAGTTTTATCCTTAAATTTATAGTTGTTAGTATTTTCTTTTGTTTTATGTAAATCTATTAGAGTATTTATATTGGTTTTTTCCAGGTGGCCATAGGGGAATGGGGTGAGAGAGAGATAGATTATTATTTCATTTTTTAGTATTTATTTATTTTTAACGTACAAAATGACCAATTTGCCCTCATATTTAATGGAAATATTGATAAAATGTAACGGTAAGACCAATGGACCGAATAATATAGAGTTTATGGACCATTTGAACAAATAATTTAGTTTGGGGACCAAAATGTAAATCGGGTAGCAATTTGAAGACCATTTGAGTAAATAATCCAATTAGACAATTTAAGGCTTGAAGTGGACTTTAAAATCATTTTCTCAAGATAAAATAGTATTAACCCTATGCTTAAACCGTCAAACTGTCCAATAGTAATTTGATTTCACCCTTCGTTTTAGTTCAAATCGAATCAAATCACATCGCTTAATAGTTAATTAATTTGGCCAAAAGTTTATGGGTGCAACCTATAATGGGTTTATTTCCAAGATTGCTTATTTTTGGAACTATCTTTCATAATGACTAGAAATACTTGCATGATGGTACAGAGAAAAGCTCAGATTTTGACTGGTCACCACTCAAAACAAATAATGGTGGGCCTCCTATTAGAGCCAATGGGGCATATCCTCCCTCTTCAACACTTAACAGCATCTTATTGTCCAGAAATGGACCACAAATTTACTAATTCACTCATCCAATTAAAAAATAAAACATTGGATCTCCTGCTGGATTTTATTTTTTTGCTTTATATTGTCACTGAAAGGAAAATGTCAAAAACAAAAAGTTGAACATATTTTTCAGCTATATATAGTTCCAGATCCCTTTCTCATTGAACTGGTAGCTACAACAAAAAACTGTATTTTCCCCAATCACCACTGGATCATATCTTTCAAAATGCTGTGCACCTCTGGATCATCACCACTTTTAAAATCTATGGCTGTTGAGTAGTCTGATTATAAACAGCTGGTGACTTTACTTTCATGCTAGAAGCATGAGACCCCTGGATATTTTTTTCCAAATTGCTTTATTCATCCCTCTCTCTCTCACTATCTCTCACCTCTGTGTTACTTACTATAAGGAACCTCCAAAACCACACCAAAACTCCCATTCAACCAAACTGATTGGATAGCCTGTGAAGGAGAAAAATTCACATCTCATGACTTGGAGTCCATTTTAGACGGATTGTCTGGTTTCCTCCTCTTAATGTCTGGACTTTTATGTGAAGAATTTGCACATGACCCAACTGTAAATTCATCACTTTTATAGCTCAAGCATGCAGCATCCAACACCCCAACCGGACTTTGGGGTACAGATGAAGCAGAGGCGCTTCCCCTATTAGCAGAACCACTGATCAATGACAAATCTTTGATCAGTTCAAGACACTTCAACACTCTTACCTGCAAATCCCACAAACAGATGAGCTTCAAGAAATCATTAAATTAATAAAAAGATCATATTAAATCCAGGATACTCTGTTATTAGCTAAAGCAAATTTGTCCTATCATGGTTTGCATCTCTGAAACAACCTTTTTACCTTGTCTACATGCATGAAACAAGAAAAGGCCTTATCAATGTCTACTGCTTGTGTTTCTCCTGAAATACAAATTGCCACTGCTGCAGCAATTTCAGAAGGCCTGAATTCCAAGAAGTCAATACCTGCATTTATTCCCATCCAGCAGTTCATTGAACCCATTAATCCTCAAGAACATCAAACTACAAAATATAACTCATTCACGGTCAGGAAAAAAAAAACCTCTTATTGTGCTCAATATGAGTTGTTCTGATCTACAGATAGATGATGTTGACGGATGTTGATCATCACTTATCTTGCTGAGGAAGTAGTCAATGAAAGAGTAGGGAGTACAAGCTTGCATTCTCCACTTTAGAGTGCTCATCACAAGAAGCTCCATTCTTAGTATAGTTTTAGCTTCAAACACAAACTTGGGATCTCCAACCTGTGCACAATCCACACATAAGAACAACAACATTGTAAGTAAATCAGAGATCAACACCGGCTTCCAAAATATTAAATTTGCAAGTCATAAATCAATGCACATGATTTCAATACCTGTAAATCCACAGACTGAGGTACAGTAGTCTCCTCCACCTTGGCTGCTATTGATAAACAAGCCACAGCTAGCAATTGCACGGCCCAGGCTTTACCTCTCTGTATGTACAAGAACAGTGAAGTGTGAAATCAAGGACAGAAACACCGTAAATGAAAACACATTGTTTGAAATTGAACCGATAACAAAAGAAGCAAACTTTGGGTCCAATTTCTGAACTTACAGGCAATTCATAAAGTGAAAGGAAGCGATCCAAGTAGTTCATAGATAGACAAACACTCAATGGTCCAAAACTGTAATGAGCATGAGCCTGTTGATCACAATAGAAAAAAAGTCAACCTAATTCAGTAATCAAGCAAAAGGGACATCGTCAATCAGAAACAAGGGAAACATAAGTGAGGAAGTAAATGGGCAAACATACAAGGAAAACCAATATCGAATTTTAGAACACAAACGAGATGCCACAGAGAACTAGATTAGGAATTATCGCTCATGATCATTGATCCCCAACAACTTAGATACATTCAGAACATATCGACAACAATCAAACAAGTCACATTGTAAACAAATGTTTTATGATGCTGTTGAAGAACAAAACCCAATTGCAGAAACCTGAATGACAATCGCAAAAACCAGTAAAAAGTCCAAATCATTATAAGAAAAGCAATAACCAATGGAACAAAAAAAGGTAAAACTCAAAGAAAAGTAATAAGACCAACCTTCGAAATCCAATCAAGGGCCTCTCTTCTACTGCTCAAGTCCAAGTCCCCATTGCGCAGTCTCTTGAGGTAATCGTCTCTGGGAAAATGCTCACTCTCCCTCTTAACCATTGAACTAACCCCTTCTTCACTCTGTAACGGAAAATCTATCATAGATTTGGATCTATTATGATTAAAACTGGGGTCTTGATTGTGGGTATTATCGATTTTATGGGGCATTGAAGGGAACAGCCCCAAGTCATCTATGGTATTAGAATTAAGATCATCAAAGCAGGTATCTGAGTTTTCTGCACAAAGAAGGTTTGAGTTGGCACAGTCAAAGCTGTCTGCCATTGGAGCACCTCAAGATGCCTTGGAAAACCCAAGAAAATCTCATCAAATTAGAGTCTGGGTTTTATCAAAGATGGCATTTTCATTGTAAAACAGGACCCAAGAAGAAGAAGAGGGAGTCTATAAAGAAAGTGTTGAGTATGGTATAGATACAAACAAAGAGAGTGAGGAAGAGAGAGAGAGAGAGAGAGAGAGAGAGAGAGAGAGAGAGAGAGATGGCATTTTCATTGTAAAACAGGACCCAAGAAGAAGAAGAGGGAGTCTATAAAGAAAGTGTTGAGTATGGTATAGATACAAACAAAGAGAGTGAGGAAGAGAGAGAGAGAGATAGAAGAGGTGTTTGGGTAGAGACTATATGCAAAGAGAGGAGCTTTATGTAGGAACTGAGCATGTGGGTTTAGGGTAAACGTGAGATTGGGGGAGGGAAGGTTGTGGATTCGTAGAGATACAGAACCAAAAATAAAAAACCAAGCCCACAAAGGAAAACCAAACAATTTGTTCTTTTCATAATTTATTTTTGGTTTGGGAAATCAAAATATAACGAAATAATATAAAAGACAGAATACAAACAAAATACAAACCAAACCTTGTTCAGTTGATGAGGGATAAAGATTAGGCTTTTAGGATTTATTTCGAAGGTGTCTTGGCTTCTGATAATGCATACCTGTCTTTTGTCAAATATCATGAACTCAAGGTCTTTTAAGGTATTAAAAAAATAAAGATAATAATATTCATGTCATTTCTTTGTATAAGATGCTATTCTAATTACTAATATCTTTTTGACAAGTAATTCAATGGTATAAAGGCATTCCTCACAATCTTTAGTCATTCGTGATAATCTTTAGTCAATACAACTCATGAAAAATCTATATACCTATGCGGGAGTGCAGAAATTTAATAACTTACATAAGAGTCGATTTCAAAAATTTAAAGTTGAATAACAGTGTGACAGAATGTGTGAAAATATTAAATGAAGTGCATGAATATGCCTCAATAGGCAAGCAATTAAAAGGTCGGGGGCCTAATGGAATCGGTGTCGAAGACTTGTTAATGAAAAAGTAAGCTTGATTTGCTTCTTTTATTTAGAACATAATGGAGCAAGATTTGAACTCCTAATGAAAAATATATATACCTATGCGGGAGTGCAGAAATTTAATAACTTACATAAGAGTCGATTTCAAAAATTTTAAATTGAATAACAGTGTGACGGAATGTGTGAAAATATTAAATGAAGTGCATGAATATGCCTCAATAGGCAAGCAATTAAAAGGTCGGGGCCTAATGGAATTAGTGTCGAAGACTTGTTAATGAAAAAGTAAGCTTGATTTGCTTCTTTTATTTAGAACATAATGGAGCAAGATTTGAACTCCTATCATAAGTGTGTAAAATAAAGTGTTACTATTGAAACTAGAAGCCGCAATGTGGCTTTTAAGTATTAAAGAGCAGTAATCCTCTTGTTGAGAAACTAGGATAATTTGGTTTGGTTGTGATTTTCATTTTCTGGTAAATGTTTGGTTGTGATTATCTCAAATAATTAGCAATGATGTCATTAATGATTCCACAAAATACGGTAGGGAGATTACATATTTAATTTGTGAACATAAAAGCTGTACCCTACGAACAATGCGGTTTAGTTTAATGGGCTCATTAACCCTTACGAATATTTAAAAAAATTTCAAAGGGTGATCCTAGGTCAAATGCTCCAATTCTTTCAAGCCCAATTGTTTACTACTAGTTGAATCTGACCCCATTGCATTTTTGTAAGGACTATGTACCATTTTAATGCCATACCTAAAAGAGTTTACAAGCTTGGTAAGAAACTCAACAATTAAAAAGGAAGACTTGGGGATACCATATGCAAATTCAGAATCGAGTTTAGTATGTTCGCCACCCGAATCGAGGTTTAATAGATATAATTAAACTATTGTTGTACAGTAAATATCAAGTGAATACTGAATAGTTTATCAAAATTTGATATACATAGCGCTGCAGATACACGAGAATATTATTAGAGAAGTAAAGGGATAAATATAACGGGTCGTCATGAGTTTGTGATGATTAGATAAGTGTAACATTTGCAACCAACTAATAGTTGAGAACTTGAGAGATCATCTAAAGCTCTTTGAATGTGTATATGACAACTGATTGTAAAATGCAATACGTATTTGGTGGAATAATATTGGGATGAATTTCTCTTTTATTTATTAATTTATTTAATGTTATTTTGGAAGAAGAGGGTAGGCAAAGGAAGCTTAGTGGCAATTGGCAATTGGGAAAGAATGAAATGAAGGGGTAAATATGTAGGTGTAGATGTAAGAGGTGGTTGGTGAAGAATGACCGACGGACAATGGCTTTGTCATTTTCCACCTTAGAGGAAGTCGCATGCTCTGTGCAATCTCAGCAGATGATCAAAACTAACCGTTTTGGTTCAGAAATCGGCATCATCATGGTACTTTTGGCCTTTCTCACCCTAGTTGTATGTTATGCATGCACATGTCCTAAGTCAAATATACCCTCAACTCGGGAGAGAAATTTCCATGTCCCGGTGTCACTGTCTCCCTCTTCATTCCATGTGCCGGTGTCATTGTCTCCCTCTTCTTATCTTTCCCGCGACAATGATTCTAGGGTATGGAAGTATTTATTTATTTTTTCTTTGAGTAAATTAGTTACCTATTAGTTTAAGAAGATGAACAGGGCTACAAATTTCGTATGTGAAGAAGAAAAGTGGGATAGAAATTATAGAAAGATGAAATTGTCATGGCATGTGTTAATAATTTTTTAGAGTATCTATTTATCACCAATAATTCATAATAATTGACATTAAATTAAGCACATTATGCTAGTTATTATCATCACCAATAATTCTTAACAAATGTCAGGAAAAAAAGAATAATTGGAGGTAAATATTAAATACTTTAATGAACTATTGACGTATGACATGAATTAAATGAGTTTTGTGTGGACTTTATTTGGATTGAACTGTAAAATAAAATGGAATCCGTAATAATTAGGTCATTGAATTCCAAAATCAATCATTCACCTTCATATATTTTATCGAAGGTCATTCAAATCAACATTCAAAGTTTCCATTCCAACCATATGTTGTCAAATTAAATTGAATGGAAAAAAAATCTAAAGCTTCCCTACTTAGGATACTCAATCCTGCATTCATAAAAAGTATGGTTTCAAAACAAAACAAGATCTAAAAGAAACATGATCTTTGAATCTTTCCCTTTTCTAGACTTTACCAACACAAATTTCCAACCCTTTTTTCTTCTCCTAGAGATGCTCTCTCTCTCTCTCTCTCTCTCTGTGTTAGCCTTTCCACCACCACCACCACCCTCCTCTTTTATGGGGTTTTGGCTCCCAAAAATTCTCCAAGACCAAATGTGAAACACTTTTTACTACAAAACATATCCCAAATCACGTGTAATCGTGCTTCACAAAGTTGAATTAAATTAAACAAAAACAGCCTTTTACTTTGACACACTTTAACTGTAATTTGTAAGAGCTTCATGCTTCATGCAAACGGCTAGAGCAAGCAAAGCTTAAAAATCTATTGGACCTGCATGGCAATGGCATGAGAGGACAATGGATATTAATTTGTCCATTCTTTTTGGTCTTTAGGGTTTTTGCAAGTGTTTGAGATTCGAGCACTCTCTCTTTCTCTCTCAAACCCCGAGCCCCCCAAGCATCAAAAGCATCCAGAGCACCAGCCAGAGCTGAGACGCAGACCTAATATATATTAATTATTTATATTTCTATACAATAATAAAATTAAAATGTGTCTCTCTGCTGTAACGGATCTACTTTTGTTCCGTTTGTGATTTGTCCTCTTCTTTCCCTTCCACTAGCAATTTTTATAAATTCTAGACTTTCTTTAATCAGTAATGATGATGTCAAAATTAGCAGTTGTCGATTCTTGTGGAAGATAGTGCATGAATACATTGGGAGAGATTAGGGTTAGAGAGACCAATGCATACTTGCTCATTCCAAGAGGAGTCTGTTTTTTTTTTTTTTCCTGCACAATTTTAATAACCTTATTATGATGCTGCCACAGAAAATGTTGGATTATTTTAAAAAATTGATCAGTGATGCAGAATTGCAGTATTTTATTGTTATTATGGTTAATAATATACATTTTTGAATGTAATTGGATCTCAACCACGGAGGAAATCTACTGATTAATAGCAAATACCCCCTATACTTGAAGTCTTTATTCGATTCACCCTTTCTCGATATGAACTGTACATAAAATAAAATAAGATAATGCAAGGAGAAAAGCGTCCAACAAGGAATGTATTTTTACGAAATTTCAGTATTACTAGTTAAGGGACATGTTCTCGTCAATTGAATGACTGATTATGTGAATTCTTATCTGGATATGTGATCCGAAATGAAAGTCTAACCAAATTAAAAATAAAATAAAAAATCAAACTATTTGATCCAAAATGACAAGTTTTGGGTTCAAATACAGAATAGAAGTCAAATGGTTTAGAAGAGAGTTCCCGCTTGAACTTAACTGGATGTACAAACTACAACGCATGATTGCTTCGAACAGGGAATAATACACTTGGACTAGAACAGGAGCTGCTAGTTAAATTCGGTTATCAAGTTTTGAATGAGATCAACTTTTCCCATCAGGCGCCAATGATTAATCAGCAGCTGGGAGAAGACCAAAAACACCTTGGTTCTTGAGCTGAAATGGTAGATTATTTGCAATGAGCAAGGCCAAGTGAAGTTGGTTTCGGAGTTTTATTGCTTTGAGTGAATGAAAGAACATGTTTGCTTTCTTTGGGACAGACAATGATGGGTGTAGTTTTCAATTGGCCATTTATGCCTTCTTGATGTTAGAGCTGCTTAGAATTCCTACCAAGGATTGATGAGAAGAGACCTTGGAATTTGTAATCCAGTGCCCCACTGTTTGAATCGAAGCTGTGAGCTTGATTATGTTAAAAAGTGACCATTGAGGTGATTATTATTAGCAACATTCAACACAAGACTGGACTCTCATCACCAAACGAGCCCATTTCTCAAATGAAAATCACCCTTGATAGAATGGACTGGTAGCTATGCAAACACCAAGCTTCACTAGAGTGATGAGCAGCATTTTCAGGGTCCTGCAAACTTATCGATGATGCACAACACTAATTCAATGCCCCACTGTTTGAATCAAAGCTGTGAGCTTGATTATGTTAAAAAGTGACCATTGAGGTGATTATTATTAGCAACATTCAACACAAGACTGGACTCTCATCACCAAACGAGCCCATTTCTCAAATGAAAATCACCCTTGATAGAATGGACTGGTAGCTATGCAAACACCAAGCTTCACTAGAGTGATGAGCAGCATTTTCAGGGTCCTGCAAACTTATCGATGATGCACAACACAACACAGAGTGACTGTAATGAGAGGTTATGGTGAAGGGTTATACTGAGGGGGTCTTAATAGCCTTTCAATCAAATTGCAGGGTTATTATTGGACGGCAGGATTGTACCCCTCAACACACTCCCTCATTACAGAAGCTCCCAACACAATGCGTTGATGAAAAAGCACATAAAGGGTTAGCCCAAGTGGCGAGGGAGGTGGAGAATTGAGTTAGGACCAGGACAACTGTAAAGTTCGATTCTCTCCAATGTAATCCAAAAGAACATAAAATGAACCAATGTAAATAAGAGGGAAAATATTATGAGCAAGATAGGGGGCAAGAATGGGCGAAAGGCAAAAACCTTTGGGTGACAACTTTATGCCTTCAAAATAAGGCCGCTAAACTGATGATAGAGAGTGTCGTTCTGGAATCAGAATGGTCTCAATTCTTTTTTTTCCAATCGTATCATAAGCTAAAAGTGGAGCACGTAAAAAAAAATACTAGGAATCATCTTACTACTCATTAACCAAACCAAACAAATTAGAAGGAAACATGTCAACATGAGCACATGGTATGCACATAAGGACATAATAGAGTCGTCGGCAGATTACAGAATATTTGTGACATTCAAGCCCACCTCCCTCAAGGAGATTAAGAATCCAGTGCTTAAGCCTCATCCATCTGCTCCTGCAAGAATCCAAACACAGGTATATTTAGGAAAGGCTTTTAGAAGCTAAAATGCAACCTTGCAGATTTATGGCCTGCACATCACACCCATTACTAAATTTGCAAACTAAAAGACCACACACATGCAATGGAATCAAACCCTTTTTATTTCTAAGTCATACAGAGCATTATAAATATATTTCCTACTTTATGCATCAAAATTCAACCAGTATATCATGACATTGGACCCTTGATTTTGAGGTTTCAATTAATATATTCTGATGATTTTTTGCTTACTTTATGCATCGAAAGTCAAACAGTATATCATCCCCACTACATAAATCGCTGCAAAAATTACTCAATTTGAAAGTAGCACTGACCTGCAAATCTGAAGTCCAAAGAGTGAGGTTGTCCCTCAGCAGTTGCATGATAAGGGTGCTGTCTTTGTATGATTCCTCTCCCAGCGTATCAAGCTCAGCAATAGCTTCCTCAAAAGCCTGCATATAACGCAAGGTAGTTTAAGAAATCTAGAGATTATCATGTCAATCGGAACAGTTATGTTATATCAGCTCATGTATGAGGAGTTAACAAAGTATAGACAATAAAACCAACTAGCTCTTAGTCTAGTGGTACTTCTCTTTCGAATGTTGGAAGAGGTCCCGAGTTCCCCCTCCTCCATTGATCAAAAGTATAGATAATAAAACCAAGACAAGGTATTAGGTAGCCTCCTTAATGTAAATGACAAAGTGTACTTTGGCTTTAGTTATTGTACCTTCCCTTTAAACTTCTATGGAACTATTAATTAGATCTTTACACTTTCCAGTTATTATTAATTAGACCTTTGCATTTCCCTAACTATTAAATAGGACTCACACTTTCCTATAACTAGTATATGTAACCCAGTTGAGATGAATTGAATAACTCAAAAAACAACAAAACCTTAAATAGTATTAGAGAGTTTAACAACCAAATTCAAATTTCTCTCCATCATTTGTAACTTCCTCTTATTCTGTTTTCCTAATCACCACCTTGCCTCCTGCACCCCGACATTTCCTCTCTCTAGGTTTGGGGATCCCAGCATCCTAACCATTTTTTTCCAGCTTGACAAGGCTATTAATGGGCCCAAACAAACCCCTCATGCCTAGTTTCAGCAATTTAAATCCTTCATCCTATGGTTACACACAGATCCCTCCATATTTGTATTTAAATGTCACTCTCATGTGATGGCCCTATTGCTGCATGTGGATGAAATTGTGATAGCCAGAGACACACCATCTTTGCTTTCCTCCTATATGTCCACTTTATGCAACAAATTTTAAATATTGAATCTTGGCACACTTAATTATTTTCTAGGCCTTGAGTTGTCTTCTTTACATTCAGGCTTTCCATCTCGGGCAACTAGGCAATGTTATGGGAAAGTGCAAACAGGCACCACTCCCTCGAGCACTAAGTTGCAATTTTGCATACTCACCCTTTCAGACACTACTGAATACCATTGTTTAGTTTGCTTACTCCAGTAGCTGACTATGACTTATCCAAACATCACCATTGCAATTCATCATCCTGCTCAATCTATGAGTGTACTATGAACCCTACATCTTGTTGCTATTGAGCACATTCTACAGTCTCTCAAAGTAACTCTGGATTCTGTATTAGATTTTGACCATCTTCTAGTACCGTTGCTGTTTATGCTTTCTGTAATGTTGATTGGGTTGGTTTTCTCGGTCTTCAACTTCTGGTTTCTAAGTTTTCTTGGGCCCCAACCTGATTTTTTGTATTGCCAAAAGAAGACTACTGTCTCTTGTCCAGTGCATTGCTCACTTACTCAAGTTTGTGCCAGGATTTTTTGGATTATCCACCTTTTCTCATTAGCTCCATTTGCTTATTTCAAATCCGGTACTGCTCTAGTTTGGTAACCTCAATGCTACAAACATGGTTTCTGGTCTGGTTTTCCAAGCTCGCACCAAGCACATTGAGCTTGATTTATCACTTCATTTGTGACCATATACCTTTCTGACATTAATTGGGTTCAGTTTGTTCCTTTAACCTATCAGGATTTTTATTTCTTCATTAAGGGATTCACAAGCACCTTTATGCACTTTTGCATTCCAAAAACTTGTTCTCTCTAGACCATCGAATTTGTGGGGAATTATTAGGTAGCCTCCTAAATTATCTCTTAGTTGATACCAAATGCATTTTGGCTTAATTCTTGCACTTGCCCTCCAAAGTTTTCTAACTATTAATTAGCCCTTAGCTTTCCTATGACTAGAATATATGCCTCACATGAGATGAAACCCTTACCCAAAGATTTTTGGATGCAGATTTTCAATATCTAAATGTTATGAAACACAACAGACAATTGATCACACTAACATACTATGAAGTCCATGCCATAAATTACGTTTTGCATCTATGTCACATAGATGAACATGCATAGGGAATTGAGGCCAATTGTAATTGCTGTGTAACTATTCTATTCCTAATGAATAAATTCAATCAAGCAACCCTTGCAACCATACAGTCAAAGTCCATTCTTATCTTCACCAAAGCAAAAAAAAAAAAAATGCTAATTTATAGTGCCTTATCCAAGAATGTGTGATGTCTTGCAGGCCAGGGTCTTAAATATTGGTCCGGAAAATATACCAGAGGTCCAAAACACGAAAATTTAGTCAAAAACATCAATAGATTATGGATAGCAGTAAAAACTCGAGAGAAGCAACGGAAATTGTTTGAAAAAATGGAAACTTCCAATGAAACTTTAGGAGATGCTTACTATTATGACCAAAACAAAGCAACTTAACTGTATACAGATTTGGACTGATTAGGGTGAACATAATGTGTGCAGATACACACGCTTACTTAGAATGGGTTTACTAGTTACTAAAGTATGACTGAATACACAACATAATAAGTATATGTAATAGGGACTTATATGGTTTATGTATAGATTAAATAACAATAATAAAAGTGTAGACAATAACAAATGGAGTAGATTAAATAACCACAACAATTAAACAAGAGTGATTTATATAGAGTACATATATGCATATAAATTAACAATAACAAATGCACAGACTAAATAACACTTAATAAATATACAAGGACTTACATAGTATACATGTAGATGAACAACTATAACTGTGTAGATTAAACCAAATATTGGTTACTGCAAGGGGTTAGATGGTGACATGATGATCTTACCTATGTACTGCACATTCATCTGCTAGCCTAATATGTTTTGATAATAAATACAATATGGATAACATAAATGATGCAAATGTGCATCAGCACAGGTGGAAGAGGCGCTAACAGGGTCATTACATGGTGGGATGGGTAATCCCTTCATTTCATTTGCCCTCAGAATTTAAGACCGTGGAGGAGGCTAGGTTGGAGTGTCATTGAGCACTGCTAAAGATTTATGCAATCAAAAGAATACCTTTTTGCTTTTAAAGAAAAATATTGGCGTCTAAGGACCAAAATATGGAAGAAACAGGCGTTTCCAAGAGTCTACTTCTCAGTCAATTATGTCCAGAACAGCATAAATTTGTAGCACATTGAGTAAAATAAACTACTTCAACATCCTCAAACTAACAGAAAGAGTTTTACAGTAAGCAACACCATTGTAGCTTATGTATTCCAATACTAATTTGCCTCCATACAAATGAAGCTGCCCTAATTTCAAATTAACAAATGCCTAGGCAAGCAACCTAAAGATCTTTCGCACCCACATTCAAAATTCAACATACACCAGTGTTTTCTATTCATATGATCATACCATAAGAAGGAAATAATTACAAGTTTTTAAACCAATAACTTCAAGAATTTCAAAGGAAGCCCAAACCTGTTTAGCCATGCTACAAGCTTTCTCTGAGGAATTAAGGATCTCGTAGTAAAACACCGAGAAATTGAGCGCCAGCCCCAACCTTATCGGATGCGTAGGCGCCAAATCAGCCAGCGCAATATCCTTCACACCAATCCAATTAAACCAAATCAAACTAAATTAAAATTGGTTTTTAAGTGAATTAAACCGAAGGAAAAAGAAATGAAAATACCTGAGCAGCCTTGTAAGCAACCATGGTGTCCTCAGCAGCGGTTTTTCTCTCATCGCCATTTTTAAACTCAGCGAGGTATCGATGATAATCGCCCTTCATCTTCAAGTAGAAGACCTTGGACTCTCCAGTAGAAGCCGATGGAACAAGGTGCTTCTCTAGAAGCTCGAGAATTCCGGCGCAGATGGCCGAGAGCTCAGTCTCGACCTTGGATCTGTACTGCTTGACGAGCGCCACGTGTTCCTCGTTCCGGCGTCCCTCCTCCTTCTGTTCGATCGATGACACTATGCGCCAAGCCGCCCGGAGCGAGCCGATGACGTTCTTGTAGGCGACACTGAGCAGGTTGCGCTCCTCGACCGTCAGCTCAGTCCCGGCGGCGGTGGACCCCACCACCAGCTTCTCCATGAAGCTCACCATCTCCTCGTAGCGCTCGGCTTGCTCGGCGAGCTTGGCCAGGTACACATACTGTTCTCGGCTTAGGGTTTCGGGCACTGCGGAAGCCATTGGAGAAGGAGAAGCAGAGAGAGTTTGAGAGTTGAGAGAGACGGAAAGAGGGATTGAGATTCGTTTGATTTTGAACAAGTTGGGTTGAAAAAGGTGAGATTATTGTTGGGATTTGGCCTAATGCCGAGAGTAATGAAAATTATAATACTCGCTTCTTGGGATCGTTAGCGGACGAGACGGCGTCGTCTGGAGAAGTGGGGTTTTTGAGGTGAGTGGCGAGTACAGTGGTTTAAGGAGTAGGTTGCTTTGTGGTTATCCGATTGGAACATAATTATGAGAAGAGGATAGAACGTTGGAAGATGGTTGGATCTGAAAAAGGTCAAATTTCGGCGACGGTTACTTGGGCTGGGGCCAGGTCGTTGTGTTTTCAATTGGAAGTTTCTTGAGACCCACAAATAGCCCAATGGACTTCTGCCACGGTTTTTTCTGTTGCTTTCGTTTGGTTGCAAGCTCAAACTACATATGCACACCGGCCCAAATGCGGAAACAAACCAAACCTACCTAAAAGAAACAGCTCGGATTAGGTGAGAACACTAAAATGAGAACACTATATGAGGATCAATCTTAACCATCCAAAATCATCTGAACGGCTGAAGAGAAAAAGCAAGCTTACCGTAGAAATGGGTATGCTGCACTTCCCTCTTAGTCCATGTGTCCTGGCGCTCCTTTTTCAATAGTGCTTCTTCCTTCCTTCCTTCCTCCGTTTACCAGAGAAACCCCAAAATATTTCTTCCTCCCATTAATTCTTTCTTAACACTTTCACTCCAAAATCTTACAACTCAAAAACTCCCATGTTCTCCCCCCCTTCATCTTCCTCCTTCTCTTCACCTTCTTCACGCCAACCTATCAAAATATTTCAGTCGCTAACCAAAACCACTCTCTCCAAATCGGGGGTCTCAGCCCTCATCCAATGGTCCGGCATCAATTCTTCTTCCAAGATTGACTGGATTTGCGTCTACTCATCCCCTTCCTCACACCACGACATTTTCATCAAATACAAGTTCCTCTCTTCCAGCCCCACTAAGAAATCTGGGTCAGACTCCATTTCCTTCCCCTTGGTCAACCTCCGATCCAACTACTCCCTGTCGGATCTTCCGCTAGACCGAGTGAAACGTCAAGGTTAGCTCTTCCCAACAATTCACCCTTTTCTATGCAATTTTGTTTTTTATACTAGTCTTTTACTGTATTTTTCGTAGTTTTCGCACCTTGCATGGGTCCAAACAGATAGGAAGTCAAGAGGACTTGGTGATTTGAACTATCCATTGATCTCTGATGTCACCAAATCAATTTCAAAATCCTACGGTGTGCTGATCCCAGATCAGGTATGAGATTTAATTATAATTGGTTCTGAATTTAGTGAATAAGAAACTTGTGGGAGACTCAATGATGTTATAATCTGGATTACTTAGAAGTTTGGAACATGATTGTGTCTCCCTGCGAGATTGAGTGATTGATGTCTATATCTCTATTATTTCATTTTGCTTTGCCATTTCTGGTTTTTTTTTTTTTTGTTAGTATGTGGAGCAATGTGTTTGTCTTTTTTGTTTATTGTTATCTGGGTTCATTTTATAGAAGAAACTACATTGTCCTTTTACTTCATTTTTTGGAATATGTCATCGTTATTTCACTCGGCATTTGTTAGCTTTGAAAATTATATGTCTTTGATTGTTGGATTCATCCCAGTACACTTGTTCTTGGCAATGGAGGTCCTTAATTCTCTGTTTGGTCTTAATTCTTCATTTGGGTATGTTCTAATTGTATAATTCTGCAGCTTGATCAACCCCATTGGATTATTTGACTTTCTGTTGGGTTTGACTTCTTTTTGCTGATGGATCTCGGCTTCATTGTGATGAATTCAAGTTCTTTTCTTGCCTTTTTATTCAGAAGGAGCAGATGATTTAAGACTTTACTCTTGTGTTGCTATTGGCAGAGTTTTATTTAACTTGGAGTTGGAACTCAAAGCATTAAATTAAAGAATTTGTGATTTTGACACTTTTGTTCTCATCTTAATAAACTAAAACCAATCCAAGAATTTTGCAATGCAAATGTTTGAGTTTATTGTTTTTAAGATTGAAGTTCGTTAATTATGTTTATTTTGAGTTCAGTTGTTCTCTTGAATTTTAAGTTCTTTATTGCCTTGTTTCAACTTCTTGATGCATAAAAAAATTTGGAAAATTTTATTTTTATCCAAATTCTATTACTTGGAGGAGGTATACAATGTACATACATGCTACTTGGTCCTCCAATGTAATCTTGACAGTCTCAGTTTTCCTCTGTTATTTCTACATCTTAATAAACCCCTGTTCTCTGTTTACTCATGAGTTCAGAGAAAATCCTCAATTTGATAATAGAGAAATGACACAAGTAAGAATCTCAATGCTGCAGCATCACTTGTATGCCACCAAAATATGTTTTGTAAAAGCTTTAAAAAGATTCACTAGAGCTCCAACATCGCTTCATTTACTATTCAATAAAGCTTCATAATATTATTTTTACTTTTTGAGTAAGAAGTCTTCATTAGTATTTTTATGAATTTTTTAAGATGAACACAAAAGACGTAGAAAGTCACATTGAGTTTGTAAAAAAAATTTGGGGTGTATTTTTATGCTATTTCATGAATTATTATGATTTTTGGAAGTTAAAGCATTCAAAAATAGTAATAAACGAAAGAGAATGACAAGTGGCAGCACTTGAATGATGCGTCAACAGTGCTTCTAACGAGTGTCATTCTCGCGTAGCGCCATGTGTCATAAGATGTTCATTTGTATCTTAATGTGTTGATAATAGTGTGAGTTGGTGCCATTTGTGTACTTTAATGTGTTGATAATAGTGTGAGTATATATCATTTATGTATCTTAATGTATTCACAATAGTGTTAGTAGGTATCATTTATGTCCTTTAATGTGTAGATAATAGTGTGAGTAGGTATCACTTATGTATCTGAATGTGTTGCTAATAGTTTGAGTAGGTATCATTTGTGTCATGAGATGTTCATTTGTATCTTAATGTGTTGACAATAGTGTGAGTAGATATCATTTATGTTTCTTAATGTGTTGATGATAGTGTGAGTGGTATGGATATGGGTATCAGGTCTGTATCTTAATGTTTTCATAATGGTTTCAGTATATCTTATGTAAACTGTGTATGTTGCAGGTATAAAATGGAATTTGGGTTTGAACTATGTTTCACAGAGGCGAGTACAGTCCTGTAATCGAGCAATTTCTATGGATAAACGTCAGTATTAAAATTCACAATAAAATATACGTCGTAAACAATCCAAAGGATTCACTAGAGCTTCAACATCATATTTTTATAATTTTTAAAAATGATAAATTTTACAAATAATAGAGAAATGATACAAGTTAGAATTGCAATGCCGCATCATTACTTGTTTGCCACCAAAATATCTTTCGTAAACACTTCAAAAGGATTCACTAGAGCTTCAACATCGCTTCATTTATTATTCACTAAAGCTTCATAATATTATTTTTATTTTTTTGACTAAGAAGTCTTCATTAGCACTTTTATGAATGTTTTAAGATAACTCAAATGGCGTAGAAAGTTTCACATTAAGTTTGTAGAATTTTTTGGTGTGTGTATTTTTCTGCTATTTAATGAAATACTATGGTTTTTGGAAGAGTGCGTCATCAGTGTTTCTAACGAGCATCATTTTGCGTAGCGCCACGTGTCATCGGAGTTTCAAATTATATATCTTTATCTTTAAAAATTCACAAACTATTAATTAAAAATTCGAAAAAATCCATCCTTAATTTCTACAAATTCCATGCGACATTATCTTCGATTATGATGCGCTAAATGTTTGATTTTAAACAAATTCCAAACAATTAATTCAAGTTTGCTTAATTAATAACAATAACACTAAGTTAAGATCACTCTTCATCACTATAACTCTTCCCCCAATTATTACTTCAAATTTCCCAATGTTACATTTTGATTTTTTTTGCATCAGAGTCGAAGATAATGTTACAAGGAATTTTTAGAAACATTTGGTGTATTTTTCTGGTTTTTATAATGAATTTTCTTGGATTTTTTATGATAAACTCACAAAAATGAAATATTAATGACACGTGGCGCTATGAGATATTAACACCCATTGAAAAAGCTGACGATGCACCCATCAGGCACTGCCATATGTCATTCTCTATTATTTATTACTATTTTTCAATATTTTGAATTCCAAAAATCATAATAAATTTGAAATTTTCAATAAAAAAGACCCCACACTCCTTATGACATTTCCAACATCTTTTGAGAGTTAAAATATAATTTTGACTAAGAGAAAAATTCAAACAATTTCACAAAGTCAAGTTTGCTTCCAAACTAACAATAACACTAAGTTGAAAATCATTAATCTTCATTACTACAACTCTTCATCCAATTATTACTTCAAATTTCCCAACGTCAAATTTTGATTTTCACATGTTAGAGTCGAGGATAATGTTGCAAGGAATTCGTAGAAATTTTCGGTATATTTTTCTGATTTTTTAATGATTTTTCGTGATTTTTTTAATATAAACTAAGAAAAATGAAACATTAATGACACGTGGCGCTATGAGATACTGACACCCGTTGGAAAAGCTAATGAAGCACCCATCAGGCGCTGCCATGTGTCATTCTTTTCCATTTATTACCATTTTCCAATATTTTGGACTTTCAAAAATCATAACAAATATGAAAAATTCACCAAAAAAATACCCCGGACTCCTTGCGACATTTCCAACATCTTTTAAGACTTAAAATATAATTTTGACGTAGAAAAAAATTCAAACAATTTCACAAAGTCAAGTTTGCTTCCATACTAACAATGACACTATGTTAAAGATCACTAGTCTTCATAACTATAACTCTTTCTCCAATTATTACTTTGAATTTCCCAAAGTCAAATTTTGATTTTCATGCAATAGAGTCGAAGATAATGTCGCAAGGAATTTATAGAAATTTTTGGTGTATTTTTCTGATTTTTTAATAATTTTTCATGATTTTTTTAAGATAAACTCACAAAAATGAAACATTAATGACACGTGGTGCTATGAGATACCGACACCTGCAGGAAAAGCTGACGATGCACCCATCAGCTGCTGCCATGTGTCACTATCTTCCATTTATTACTATTTTCCATTATTTTGACTTCCAAAAATCATATAAAATTCATAATAAACCTGAAAAATTCACCAAAAAATACCCCGGACTCCTTATGACATTTCCAACATCTTTTGAGACTTAAAATATAATTTTTACTAAGAGAAAAATTCAAATAA